AACATTAAAGACTTGTATATTATTATAATGCCCCTGTGACAATAAGATGTACGTATAAAAAATTATTAATGCAAAGAAAATTGTATACCCCCCAAGCTGGACATCTATAGAATGAACATCCATATTTCTTTTAAGTTTCAGCCGTATAAAGATTCATTCGACCCCTTCCATATGCACAAGGTAGCCTGTCACCCTATATCTTATACATGACTGCATATACAAGTTATTACAGTTATCCAAATCATAAAAAGGTTAAAATATAGTTATCACAAGTTATTACATTTATCGAAATCGTAAAAGAGAGTTAACATAAAATAGTTATTACATTTATCCAAATCCTAACAAATAATTAAAATAAAGTAGTTATCACAATTATCCAAATACTAACAAATAGTTAAAATAAAATAATTATTACAGTTATCCAAATACTAACAAATAGTTAAAATAAAGTAGTTATTATAGTTATCCAAACATGATAAACATCTAAATGCAATTTCAAGGGTGTTGAATTGTATTCCATATATTATTAGCAATATGATCACGTAAAATATTCCTTGGTTGAGAGCAAGACCGCGATACATTAACCTAAACATCATCATTATCATCTTCAAATATTTCATCTATTAGCGCCTCCACAGTTGCATCATCAAATATTGCATCTACTTATGCCTCCTCTCTTATAAAGTTGTGAAGTGTGTAGCAGGCTAAAACAATAGCAACTTGACCTTCAAACTTATATGGGGCATTTGGTTCAAGATGGGGAATCTCATCTTAAGCATCCCAAAACAACGCTCAATGATACTTTGCAAAGACGAGTGCATGTGATTGTATGTTTCCTTTCTACCTCGGAGTTGCCGAGAAGCTCTACGGTACTCTTGAAAGTGGTACCGTTGACCCCTGTAGGGAGCCAAGAAACTCAATTGATTGGCATACCCGGAGTCCACCAAATAATATTTTCTTGCCATTTTATAAACTATAAACAATTGTACCATTATATTTAAAATAACTATTGCAAATTGTAGGAAGTATGACATTTACCATCTGGAGGCTGTGGGAAATGCATATCCTCATTATTAATGGTCTCATCAATATCTTAGAATCATTAGCAAACCCCTCCCATCCTACTACAACGTACGTGAACATCATATCAAAATCACAAACAGCTATTACATTTTGTGCGGTATCCCCTTTCCTACCACGAAATGGTATTTGCTGGTCTACAGGCACGTTTGCATGGATATGAGTTTCATCAATTGCCCCTACGCAATTCTTAAAAAAAGGGTAGTACTTTTTTGACTTTTTTATATGGTTAGGAACTATGGTTAAATCTGAGGCGACAATAATCTTTTTCCCTCAATCACACACTTTTTGTAAAACCAAATGGACGTGTTTTGAAATTGTATAGGTAGAGTGTTGAAAGCTTTCTGCTACCACACGATTCCTTTCACTGTGAGCTAAAGTAAGCAAGAATATGTCAACTTGTTCATAAACACTTACAACTTTAGAGTCTTTCAACCCTAATGACCTAAGTTCCCCACACAACTTCAAAAAAAAATAAGGGTGGACATCCTAAAGTTTTCAAAACATCTACTTCTATGCTCGTTCAGGATCTCCATTATATATGTTTCCCCCTTAAAAGTGAATCCCTACAAGGTTGTTTATGTGACATCTTGGGTTTTTATTAGGTTCTTTATATTCTCAAGAAAATTATTTTTTTCTTTGCAATTATTTTTTTTTCTCTTGCTGCCACATGAATTTATTTTTTCTTATCCTTAATATTTAAAATGCATCAAGATTTATTTCCTATTCTTTGTGAGTTAAGTAGTTTTATCTCTATTATGCTAAAACTATTTTTTTTTTCTCCATGGTGGTGTTGTATTATTTTCCTTGTTTTAGGTAGAAGGGTGGGCCAAAGACGCAATTAGTTAGCTAAGTTATGCGGGTTCACTGTTAGAGGAAATTGTGGGGAAGTATTGCTGTTCCTCTGTATTTAAAATAGATGGTGGGGAAAATTTGCAATTTACACAAGATTTATATATTAGTGGGAAACACCTGTCATTATTCCTAGCATCCTAAGGATACGTTTGTGCTCTAAGATTGACACCAAGACACCAAGCTTAGGCCCTTCCACATATTTCTCTGCATGTAAGAGTATCTAAAAGTAACTAATAGAAAGGGGAAAGAGGAAGAAAAAGGGCGGCCGAGGAAGGCTGCGGAGTTGCTTATTCATCTATGTAATTGGTAGGGATTTTCTAATTTTGCTGATTTAGGAGATTTTCATTCTCTAAAATTTCTTTGATAGTCCTATATGTTATATTGAAATTTATTTCTCTGTAAGCTCACGAAATATTTCTCTCTAGTTGTGATACATAGAATTTTTGAATGTCATGTTTTCTAATATGTGTAGGTTCTGATTTTTCCTCTTTGAAAGATTGAGACAAGCATTGTCTATATCATGTTAAAAACTAATTTTTTCTTTAATTATTTGAAAATAAGGGTACTTCTAGTTAAGGTTTTATGAAATCCCTTTATGCATATTGTGTTAAAGTGAGATGTTTACTGGTTTGTGCACAAGAAACAAATTTAGTAGACTTTCTTCAAGTTTGAACTTCTAAGTTGGTATAATAGACATCATGAGAACATATTTTCTTGTGTGAATTGAGACTGGGTACGTGAAGTCTCGGAAGGGAAAAGAGGGTATGAGCTACCCTAAGGTGTAAGTCCCAAAACCCGCAGCGGTAGACCCTTGTTTGGGTATTTAGGAGTTGTTTACACACTGATCGGTGTGGGAGTGATAGTGTGGGACACTCCGGGATGAGTTAAAGGTGTTCAATGAATTGTACCAAAGAAAAGAAAATGTTTTTTTTTTTTTTTTTATAACAAATTTCCTGAATATTTTGTTAGCTTACTATGAGTTTTGTCTGTTCTTTTGTATGAAAATATAAAATTCTGATATATATAACATAGTCTATAATTAAAATAACAAAACCTCATTTAGGCATCATTAGAATTTTCCTACTGGGCATTGTCTCACTCTTAACAATTTTCAGGTACCGTCAACCGAGATGGTGGACGTGGGGATGCTAATTGTGGTCCATGACTTGCTTTTGCACTGGGATATATTTTTGGATTGAAGCCTATGTTGCTTGATGAAATTAAGCTGATAGCATGATCAATTTTATTTTGGCTTTTATTATAGTAGTTATAGTATGACTTCTGTAGTAGGTTGTAGAATTGTCACTCTTTGTGCTGGTTCGAAAATGTTAGCATGCTCTTTTATTGTATATATTTGGTTTCGATGTTGTATATAATTGGTTTAAGGTGTAAAACATGTTATATTGTTAATGTATGGGTTTAGCCTATTTTAGGGTATTAGTTGTACCATCATTTATGTGTATACCAATGTAGTTTTTGTGAATTGACTAAGTTTCTACCCATCCGTATAAAGACCTTGGTGTGTAAATGTATCTGTTTATATGTAAATGGATATCTAGATACTTCTTGCTTATGTTCCTTGTGGGTTTGAATGATGGAATTGATGATAGGGAATCGAAAATTGTTTTGTTACAGGAAATTCACTTTTCTTTCCATTTTGCTGAAATTCAAAAATTTCTCCAAGGAGCTGTATTGATTCAAATGATTTTAAATTTTTATCACAACTTCCCTAATGCATCTAGTATTTCTCCATAAAATTTTGTAATTTTGAAATCAACAGATATTTTTCTAAAATTCGAGAGTACCAGCTGTCCGAATTTTACATCTGCTGGAAATCAGATTTTACTTGAATTATTGACCAACTTTTCGAGACCGGATCTTTATAAAAATTTCCAGTTTTATACGTCCCTAAGTCTACTTTCTAAAAATTAATTTATTGGAATTTTCATAGCTCCGGATATTTCAAATGAATGATGGTTTCCGAAACACTTTATTTTCAGCTCATTCTTAGACAACCACTTTCCTTCCAAAAATTGATTTTATTTGCAAAGCTTAAGTTGCTGGGAATTGTAGTGTCATATTACTCTTTGAGTCTAGTTTTTAAATCATTTTCGGTTGCTTCGTTTCGATTTAAAATGAATTTGCTACGGATTTTTGAGTAATCGTTACTTAGTTTTCTTACAATTACAATGAGCTGTCTATTATTTTTTTTTTGGAACCATACTTTATAACGCCCTATGGTTTTGGGGCATGACAGGTTTGGTATCAGAGCCTAGGCTGTAGTTCATTGGGAGAATTTGTGTGATGTTTGACTGTTGATGTTATAAACAAGTTGCATTGTACCATGCTATGTGATAAATGATTGTAACTTGTTGATTATGTGCTCTAAAGTGTTAAATGTGTGCCCTTTTAATTGCATATATTCCTATGCTATAAAGTTAGATGGTATGTGATGAGTGACTTTAAATTGTAACATTATGTCAAAAAAAAAAAATTATGCACATGTGCTTATGCTCTAGATGTTGTATGCAATATGATTAACTTGATTTTTAAAGTGTGTTTTCTAGTTCATGATGTTTAGAGAAGTTGCCAGTGCTAATTCAAATGAACAGCTTACAAATGATGAGAGGCTTACAAGGGTGTTCCAAGCCTTAGAAGATCTCACTGGACTTGTGGGACGGCAAGTCCAAATGAACTAGGCTCCCAATCTAGTTAGGGAGTTGACAATAGCTGAAAAGAAGATAAAGTGTCTTGCGGAGTTTCGGAGGCTCAAACCTCCAAATTTTAGAGGAAACAAGGGTCAGGATGTATGTGAATCTGAGAAATGGCTTAAAGAAATCAAAAAGCTTTTTGAGGTGACATCCATACCCAAAGAATTCAAAGTAGCCATTGCCTCGTCACTCTTATTTGATGAGGCCGATCACTAGTGGGACACCGTGAAGATTAGACATGATTTTAAAAGCATGACTTGGACAACCTTTGAAGAACTCTTTTATGCCTAATATTTTCAAGATGTGGTTCAAGAAGCCAAGCTACAGGAATTTCTTCATCTCACTCATCGTAATATGACAGTTGCTGAATATGATGCTAAGTTTATGGAATTAAGTCGGTTTGGGAAGTGCTTGATAGCTACGGAGGAGATGAAGGCCTCAAAGTTCGAGAGGGGACTCCGACCCACCATCCGAGAAAAAATAGTGGCTTTACGCATCCGGAAGTATTCTGACATGGTAGACAGTGCCATGAGTGTGGAACGTGAAAGGGAGGATTTTCAGAAAATTCAAGAAAGGTCCCGGGGTTCGCATAAAAATCAGAATTGTTGTCCCTCCAACAACAAAAGGCAAAGGGGTGGACAAGATTCAAGTGGGGGCAGTTTTGAAGGCAACTTCAATAAAGCTCCTGATGAATGTTTTATTGTGGAAAGAAGGGGCATTTCAAACGAAACTGTCCATCTCTACATTCAGCCCCAAGAAATGATCAAGTGTAGTCTCAAGTTCCTAGTCACTCTCAAATGTCTCAACAATCACATCCACGCTCAGGGTACTCTTATACTCCACCAGCAACATCCACAAATCAGCCTCGCTTAACTTAAAAAGGGGAAAATGTGGACCAAGCTTCCAAGCCACAAGGAAGGGTATTTTGTATCAGTCCAAATGAAGCCGAAGGGCAAGCTAGCAATATGTTTGTTAAAGGTACTATTCTGATTTTCCACACCTGGGCTCGTACATTGTTTGACATTGGTTCATCCCATTCCTTCAATTCTAAATCTTTTAAATTATCCTTGGGGCTAGAGGTTGTTCCTTTAGATTTTCCACTTGAACTTGTTACTCCGGTAGGGGAACTTACCAAGAGCATTTTAGTTTGCAAGTCTTGTACTGTTTCCATTGCGGGTTGCTATTTGGTTCATGACTTGATCTTGTTTTACATGAATGAGTTTGACGTCATACTCGGAATGGACTGGTTATCCTCTCATCGAGCCATAGTGGATTGTTATTATAAAAGGGTGACCTTCTAGGAAGAAAATGGAACTACCTTCTATTTTCGAGGAGACGCGCACATCCTTCCACCAATGTCTTCTTCCAAAATGTTTATGTTAAAGGGAAGGAGCCGAAATTTCCTTGGCCTTCTAGCTTCTATTTGTGCGAAGCCGAGTTCTTTGGCATAATCTGTTCCAATGATTGTGGTAAGTGAATTTGAAGACGTTTTTCCATCTGATTTGCCTGGATTACCACCCAAGCGAGAAGTAGACTTCTCTATTGAGTTGTACCCTAGAACTGCTCCAATTTCCATTTCTCCTTACCGAATGGCACCAGCTAAGCTTTAAGAACTCAAGAAGCAAATACAGGAACTCCAAGAGAAAGGGGTTTATTCGGCTTAGCTCTTCACGTTGGGGTGCTCCGATTCTTTTTGCCAAAAAGCACGACGGTTCTTTACGGTTTTGTGTCAACTACCTAAAGCTTAATCGGGTAACAATAAAGAACAAGTACCCGTTGCTACGAATAGATGAATTATTTAACCAACTTCAGGGCTCTAGTTTCTTCTAAAAAAATTGATCTACGATCTGGGTACCACCAGTTGCAAGTAAGAGAAGAAGACATACAAAAAACAACATTTCGAACTTGATACGGCCACTTTGAGTTTCTTGCCATGCCCTTCGGATTGACAAATGCCCTGGCAACATTCATGGGTTTAATGAACCGCATCTTCCAACCATATTTTGATCGATTCATCATTGTTTTTATAGATGACATAGTAATTTATTCCAAAAACCAAGAAGAGCGTAAAAAGCACTTGAGAGTGGTCTTGCAACTTCTTCGGGAAAATCAGTTGTATTCTAAGCAAGAAAAATGCGAATTCTAGATGACAGAAGTAAAATTTTTGGGTCATGTAGTGTCCAAAAATGGCATCTTAGTAGATCCATCAAAAGTTGAGGCTATTTTAAGTTGGGAAAGGCTAAAGAATGTTACAGAAATTCGAAGCTTCCTCAGACTAGCAGGGTACTACCGTCATTTTATAGAAAATTTCTCTTGGATTGCAATGCCATTAACACAACTGACAAGAAAAGGGGTCAAGTATGAGTGGACTGTAAAATGTAAAAAAGCATTCCAAGAGCTGCAACGCAGGTTGACAACGACACCCGTTCTCGTCATCCCCAATGGTGAAGACAAGTATGTTGTCTACATCATCGCTTCTTCAGTCGACCTTGGGTGTGTTCTCATGTAACAAGGCAAAGTTGTGGCTTATGGTTTACGCCAACTAAAGCCACATGAGCGACGTTAACCAACCCATGACTTAGAATTGGCTGCGGTCATTTTCACACTCAAGTTGTGGCGATGTTATCTTTACGGCTCCAAATTTGAGGTGTACTCCGATTACAAGAGCTTAAAGTACTTGTTCACCCAAAAAGAATTGAACAACCGACAAAGAGGATGGCTAGAGTATCTTGAAGATTACGACTTCACGCTTCATTACCATCCAGGAAAGGCCAATGTGGTTGTCGATGCTCTAAGCCGAAAATGCCAAGCTATAACATACAATTATGCCATCCAAGCATGGAGGACATGCAGCGTTTTAGAATAGTACAATCTGCAATTAGGCGAAATGAATGAGAAAGCTTATGCATTTGCTTTGGTAGCTCGACCCACACTACTTCAACATGTCATTGAGACACAATGACAAGATGCAGAGTTGGAGGCTATTCGAAAACAGATTTCCAGCAATAATGATATGCAGGAATGGTCCTTGTTCACAGATGGAGGTCTACGTTTCAAACAACGTCTCGTGGTACCAAATGAGCCTAACATTAGAAAAGAAGTCCTAGATGAAGCCCACCGCTCAAAATTCATGATTCACCTAGGAAACACAAAAATGTATCAAGATTTGCATCGACATTTTTTGTGGAAAAGCATGAAGATTGATGTGGCAGAATACGTGGCTAAGTGCCTAACTTGTCAACAAATTAAAGCGGAGCATCAATGACCTGCCGGCCTACTTCAACCACTTCCCGTTGCTAGGTGGAAATGGGACTGTATCACCATGGACTTTGTGATCAGGTTGCCAAAGACTCGAGGTGGCTATGACTCAATATGGGTTATTGTGGATAGACTCACCAAATCAGCCCATTTTTTTCCGGTCCGTGCCACGGATTCATTTGAAGCTTTGAGTAAGCTTTACATCCAGAAGATCATATGTCTCCATGGCATTCCCTTGTCAATTGTCCAACCATGATCCCCTTTTCACCTCTAAATTTTGGAAGGGATTACAAAATGCTATGGGCACAAAATTAGACCTTAGCACCGCTTTTCATCCTCAAACCGACGGGTAATCGGAGAGAGTTATTCAAATCCTTGAGGATATGTTAAGAGCATATTCTTTGGACTTCAAGGGCAGCTGGAGTGAGCACTTACCATTAGTGGAATTCGCCTACAACAATAGCTACTAGTCAAGCATCGGTATAGCTCCATACGAGGCACTTTATGGTAGGCCTTGCCGCTCTCCCTTATGTTGGGTTAAAAAGGAAGAAGTTCTCCTTGTGGGGCCGGAGTTAGTGCAGCAAACCACTGAAAAGATTAAAGTAATTCGGGAAAGGTTATATGCAGCCCAAAGCTGGCAAAAGAGCTACGCCGATAAAAGGAGGAGGCCACTAGAATTTGAAGTCGGGGACTTTGTTTTTCTCAAGGTAGCTCCATATAAAGGCATTTTCAGATTTGGAAAGAAAGGCAAACTCACTCCAAGATTCATAGGACCATTTAAGATTGTTCAAAAGGTAGGAACACAAGCGTATCGATTGGCTCTACCACCTACGTTCGCTCATGTTCACGACATGTTCCATGTGTCAAAGCTTAGGAAGTACCATTCGGATTCCTCACATGTTGTTGAGTGGCATGATTTGCATTTGCAAGAAGATGCTTCCTACCTTGAACAACCTGTTCAAGTATTAGATTGGAAAGCAAATGTTCTCCGTAATAAGACTATTCCACTTGTGAAAGTTTTGTGGCGACACCATGGAGTAGAAGAGGCAACGTGGGAGTTAGAGTTTGATATGCAAGATGGATTTCCTCATCTTTTTCATGAATCAGGTTTGCATTATGAAATTTCGAGGACGAAATTTTTTTTTAGGGAAGGAGAATATGACATCTTGGGTTTTTATTAGGTTCTTTATATTCTTAAGTAAATTATTTTTTTCTTTGCAATTATTTTTTTTTCTCTTGCTGCCACACAAATTTATTTTTTCTTATCCTTAATATTTAAAATGCATCAAGATTTATTTTCCTATTCTTTGTGAGTTAAGTTGTTTTATCTCTATTATGCTGAAACTACTTTTTTTTTTTTTCTCCATAGTGGTGTTGTATTATTTTCCTTGTTTTAGGTAGAAGGGTGGGCCAAAGACGCAATTAGTTAGCTAAGTTATGCGGGTTCACTATTAGAGGAAATTGTGGGGAAGTATTGTTGTTCCTTTGTATTTAAATTAGATGGTGGGAAAAACTTGCAATTTACACAAGATTTATATATTAGTGGGAAACACTTGTCATTATTCTTAGCATATCTTGAGGACATGTTTATGTTCTAAGATTGACACCAAGACACCAAGCTAAGGCCCTTCCACATATTTCTCTACATGTAAGAATATCTAAAAGTAACTAACAGAAAGGTGAAAGAGGAAGATCGAGCAAGGAAAGGAGGAAGAAAAAGGGAGGCCGAGGAAGGCTAGGGAGTTGTTTATTCATCTATATAATTGGTAGGGATTCTCTAATTTTGCTGATTTGGGAGATTTTCATTCTCTAAAATTTCTTTGATAGTCCTATATGTTATATTGAAATTTCCTTCTCTAAAAGCTCATGAAATATTTCTCTCTAGTTGCGATACTTAGAATTTTTGAATGTCATGTTTTCTAATATGTGTAGGTTCTGATTTTTCCTCTTTGAAAGATTGAGACAAGCATTGTCTATATCATGTTAAAAACTGTTTTTTTCTTTAATTATTTGAAAATAAGGGTACTTCCAGTTAAGGTTTTATGAAATCCCTTTATGCATATTGTGTTAAAGTGAGATGTTTACAGGTTTGTGCACAAGAAACAAATTTAGTAGACTTCCTTCAAGTTTAAACTTCTAAGTTGGTACAATAGACATCATGAGAATAGATTGTCCTGCGTGAATTAAGACTCGGTGCATGAAGCCTCAGAAGGAAAAAGAGGGTACGAGCTACACTAGGGTGAAAGTCCTAAAACCTGCAGCGGTAGACTCTTGTTTGGGTATTTGGGAGTTGTTTACACATTGATCGGTGTGGGAGTGACAGTGTGGGACACTCCGGGATGAGTTGAAGGTCTTCGATGAATTGTACCAAAGAAAGAAAATGTTTTTTTTTTTTATAACAAATTTCCTGAATATTTTGTTAGCTCACTATGAGTTTTGTCTGTTTTTTTGTACGAAAATATAAAATTCTGATATATATAACATAGTCTATAATTAAAAGAACAAAACCTCATGTAGGCATCATTAGAATTTTCCTACAGGGCATTGTCTCACTCCTAACAATTTTCAGGTACCGTCAACCGAGATGGTGGACGTGGGGATGCTAATTGTGGTCCATGACTTGCTTTTGCACTGGGATATATTTTTGGATTGAAGCCTATGTTGCTTGATGAAATTAAGCTGATAGCATGATCAGTTTTATTTTGGCTTTTATTATAGTAGTTATAGCATGACTCCTATAGCAGGTTGTAGAATTGTCACTCTTTGCGCTGGTTCGAAAATGTTAACATGCTCTTCTATTGTATATATTTGGTTTTGATGTTGTATATAGTTGGCTTAAGGTGTAAAGCATGCTATGGTGTTAATGTATGGGTTTAGCCTATTTCAGGGTATTAGTTGTACCCTCTTTTATGTGTATACGAATGTAGTTTTTGTGAATTGACTAAGTTTCTACACATCCATATAAAGACCTTGGTGTGTAAATGTATCTATTTCTATGTACATGGATATCTAAAGACTTCTTGCTTATGTTCCTTGTGGGTTTGAGTGATGGAATTGATGATAGGGAATCGAAAATTGTTTTGTTGCAGGAAATTCACTTTTCTTTCAATTTTGCTGAAATTCAAACATTTCTCAAAGGAGTTGTATTGACCCAAATGCTTTCAAATTTTTACCACAATTTCCTTTATGCATCTAGTATTTCTCCATAAAATTGTGTAATTTTTGGATCAATACATATTTTTCTAAAATTCGAGAGTACCAGCTGTCCGAATTTTACATCTACTGGAAATCAGATTTTACTTGAATTATTTGACCAAATTTTCGAGACCGGATCTTTATAAAAATTTCCAGTTTTATACTTCCCTAAGTTTACTTTCTAAAAATGAATTTATTGGAATTTTCATAGCTCCGGATATTTGAAATGAATGAAGGTTTCCGAAACACTTTATTTTTAGCTCATTCTTAGACAGCCATTTTCCTTCCAAAAACTGATTTTATTTGCAAAGCTTAAGTTGCTGGGAATTGTTTTGTCACATTACCCATTGAGTCTAGTTTTCAAATCATTTTTGTTTGCTCTGTTTTGACTTAAAATTAATTTGCTATGGATTTTTGAGTAATCGTTACTTAGTTTTCTTCCAATTACAATGAGCTGTCTATTATTTTTTTTTTGGAACCGTACTTTATCACGCCCTATGGTTTTGGGGCTGACAGTTTATGGTAATGTTTCATATAATAATCCAATATACATGCCATTATGATAACATATTCATTCTCGTCATCATCGTCATTGTACAACTCAATTATTGTCCTAATATCCATCTGTATAATACAAAATGTAAGAAATGACATAAATCACAACCATTCTAAGCCAAATACCAAATAAGAAATAAAAGCAAGACAACAAATAAAATCATCCCAAGCAAAATAGTGATGTTGTCAATACAATCATCCCAATAACATAAATACTAGTGTACTTAATATTACAATCATCCAAGGTCATAACAAAACCAAATAAGAAATAAACGAATACACCAAATAAAGTATACTTAATAGTACAGTCATTCAATGTCATAATAAAAGAAACACATCAAATCAAAGATTCATGATCCAACCAACCCTCTTATCATTAAGAAGGTCATTCAGAAAGAAATCCCTCCAAACTTCATCATTACGTAACATCTGGGTGACCTTAGCATATTGTTTATCAATGCCCTCTAACTAATTCAAAATACTACAACATAACTTAAAATCACCTTTTGTCTTGTCTAAAGAATTTACTTCAACCTGACATTCTTCATGGACTGTTTTCATATTAGATGATGAAGCTTCTTTTATGGCCTTTTCAATTTGATCACATTTCATGTTGGCATTGTCTTTCATTTGCACCATGACATCGCTTAATGTGGGGGCAAAATTCTCTTTCTTTGGTTTCTTATCATGAGGTTTAGGAGAGGGACTGATCCCATGACCGTCTCAGCTAAATCATCAATTTCAAATGAGGTATGTATGGTTACATGATGTAAGGGGGCTTGGTTGATAATTGGTGGATTAATCGAAGTATTAACATGTGCACCTGCAGCGTGTGTGCCTCCAAATATGGTGGTGAGCTTGTCAAAATGCTTGCATCCCTTCTTTCAAAAATTACTATAATGGTTATTCACCTACAAATTATTAAAGTACTATTAATATTAAGTAAAGTATACATTTGTAAAATCGAAATACATTTATTTGAATAACTAACCTTCATCAATATAGCCCATCTTTCATTTTCAACTATAACCATGCCCGTCTTAGCATTGTATCCTATGCCTGTTTCTACTAACAAACTCACGAAGGCTTTGTACTCTACCCTCACGTGGTTGAATTTGCTCCTAAGTTGTTTCGGTGCATACTTCTTCCCTGTACGGACCCTTATGCCTTTTACTAGATTCTTCCAACCAGTTGGATTAAAAGTTCCACTAGTCCGATTACCAACCCTCACTTCTTCCTCCATACAGATAATGAAAGCTTCGAGTTGATTATTATCCCATACTAGTTTTGTATCATCGGTATTGTCTGTAAGGTCCTTTATTTCTTCTCCCGCCACATTGTCACCATTGATATCCATCTAATTACATAGTTTTAATAAGAATGGGTTAAAAGGGTTATTAACAACTGTGGTCCGATAAATTATGCATGTTGAGTGAGATTCTTAAAATGACTCGCATGTAGGGTGCAGTAATTTCAGTTTCCATTAATGTATTTCCACCAAGTTTGAAATCAATGATCCTCTAACTAAAGCTAACCCAATTAACAAAGTATAGAATAAGGCATGCACAACAAAAAGCTAACACTAAAATATTCTTAAATGAAAAAATCAAAGGGATGGTCCATTGAGATCAATTCAACCTTAAAGCCTGATATGACTCATTAGTTAACAAAAAGCCAAAAAAAAAAAAAAAAAAAAAAGATTAGAGCCAAAGGCATGTAGGGTGCAGTAATTTCAGTTTCCACTATTGTATTTCCACCAAGTTTGAATTCGATGATCCTCCAACTAAAGCTAAACCAATTAAAAAAGTATAGAATTAGGCATGCACAATCAAAAGCTAACACTAAAATATTCTTAAATGGAAAAATCAAAGGGATGGTCCATTGAGATTAGTTCAACCTTGAAGCCTGATATGAATCTTTAGTTAATAAAAAGCCAAAAAAAAAAAAAAAAAAAAAAAAAATGGAGCCTAAGGCATGTAGGGTGCAGTAATTTCAGTTTCCATTAATGTATTTCAGTTGACTAAGATAAATTCCAAAACAGTCATCTCCATTATTATTGCAAGAACTTCTTATCTACTTCATCAGATTCTGATTATCAAGATGCTTGGAAGTATGTATTTTATTATCAAAATAAAAATTTCAAACACTCTTGGTTTATTTATTTTGCCAAAGAATTTGATTAGGAACTCCCAACATGGTTCATGGATTAATTGGCTCAATTTGGTACTGACATTGAAATTCTTTCAGAAGATGTTCTTAATGCATACTCTTCATGTTATGATTGTCTTGAACAATCTTGTCAGAGTAACAATTCCATTTCTGTATTTTATGTCAAATTTTGCCTCATCCAGTTATATGTATATATATATATATATATATAACATTTTAATTATTATCCTAGTATTATAGTATCAATATAGGTTTTATGTACAATACCATTCCAGTACTAAAATAATTTTTTGATTGCATAAGATTTCAAAAGAGGGAAAAGAAATTTGAGAATAGGTGGCCGCCTTGCATAGCAGTAGTTGTTAGAAAAACCATATTCCATGAAATAACTAGAAAAAAAAGGTATCAAGCAAACTCAAAGAGACATCAGAAATGACAAACTTAAAAGCCAATAGAAACAACCACCAATACAATATTCTTTATCAAGCATACTTGTTGGAAGGAGGGCTATGTACCTGGTTCAAAGAAGATTTGCCTGGAGTTGTTGAAGAAGAGTAAAGTTCCGAATCAGAAACATGGCTTTTTCATCACTTCAATTTTTAACCTTAGATTAGGTAAAAAATGAGTTTGTATCATCTTTAAAATAAAATAAAAAATATTTAAAACAATTTTAACAAAACTCAACATACCGAGATGAGAAAGTTGAGGAAATAGAGAGAGAACTTGGGGAGATTTTGGACAGAGAGAAGAGAATCCGAGAGTGGAGAGAGACGCGATAAAGAGTAAGCTCGGCCCCTTTATGAAGAACTCGCCGGAGTGACAAAAGGCAGTGGCGAAGCTTAGGTTCGCCGGAAAACGCAGAGGTGAGATAGAGGGAATTTCTCTTCAGATCTTCATATACAGTGGTCGATTTGAAGCTCGATCTCCAAACAACATCAAAATTTTAGACAGAAAACAACGATAACAAGAAGAAGAAGCAGAGGAGCTCACTAGTGAGAAGAAGATGACTCTTAAGGAAAGCTTCAGATCTATTTCAGTGTGGTCGATTTCAAGCCCACAACAGTGACAAGAAGAGGACTGTGTAGGAAAGCTTCGTCGATTTTAAGCCCAGTTTGGTTTTCGTCGATTTGAAGCCCGACGATGTGCACTGGAGTCGCCGAATTGCCTTGCTGCGTGAACCCTAGAACATTGTTGCGATTTGTGTTTATACCTGTTCTCAAAATGGAACAAGTTTGGGCATATGTTGCATCTGCTACAGTGACAAGTGGGCCGATCATGAATAATGAATGAATAGCTAAGTCAGTATAGATGCAGACAACTGACTGACACACACACAAAACTATATTTAACACATATATATAATGAAAGCATATAAGCACAAAGCATGGCAACACATGTGAAGGAAAACATAAGGCATAATGACACATGTTGTATACCATCATGTTAAAGCAACTAAGGGAAAGCGTTTATAAGCTTTCAAACATATAAGCATGTAAACATGTTATCAAAAAGCATGTGAACACATCAAAGAAAATCAACAAAAGCATGATATGCACTAAAAACCCGTCGTATAAGGTTTTTGAACCCCGACGCTCTGATACCACCTGTGATGGCCCTCGTTTTTCAAGCCAGTGCGTCTTATGATGACTCAAAATTTGACTCGATAACGGATCCTGAATGCCGAAGTAAAAATAGAAACCAAGTCTCTAAAGATGCACATCATCCCTAAGACACCAATGTGACCTCCCATGAGTCATGGAAACTAAAAGGAAAACAAATGCGGAAATGATGTTTAAAAAAAAAAAAGAACAAGTTTAGCCCTAGGGACAAAATGGTATTTTCAAAACATAAATGGGTGCCACTGTGCACACCATTGGAAAGACAACGAAAAATTAATGAAGTTAAACTCAATAATCGCCTGATTCGGAGTCCAGACGAAGAAGTTATGGCCAAAACAAAAACAAAGCATCAGGGCTGTCAGGACGGGGCACCAGGGGCGCCCATGGCACAAGCTACGCGTGCGTTAGTCCAAGCCATGCGTTCGGGCGCTGCAACCTCTTGACATGCCATGTGAACCTGCACCTATTTTTTGACTTATAATGCTGTTTTGAGGGCTTAAATGACCTTTTTTGGGAAAAAGTTGTGAAGTAAACCCCCCCTCCCCCCCCCCCCAAAAAAAAGAAAAATCATGTTTTCTACATGACCATGTCAAGAAAAGTTTTTAATTTTCAAATGAAATACCCAAAATTTCCCTTAGATCAGACTTTTTCCTGAAAAAGTGCGTGTACCAGAAAATCAGATTTGATGCAAGGTTTTCAAGACTGAGATGACATTTGTTGGAAAAATGTTGTGAAGAAACCCCCTTAAAAACACGTTTTCTATGTGACTATGTCAAGGCCAGAATTTATTTTCCAAAGGAAAAATCCCAAAATGCCCCTAAACCAGATTTTGTATAAAAAAAAAGTGCAAAATGAGTCGATAAGGAGGCTCATTTCACCAAGGAAAGGGTTTTGCTAAAAAATGACCATGCCCGCAGATGTATGTTGATTCATGGTTGATCAAGTGTTTTGCACTTTAAATGTGATATAACATGATGAGAAGGTACAATATTATTAATTAGCGTAATGAAGCTCATGGTTCAGCATTCTATGGTTCGGCACTATAGGGTTCAGCACTATGTGGTTCAGCACTTACAAGGATCAACACTTAAAGGTTTAGCACTTAAAGGTTCAGCACTTCAAGGTTCAACATTATATGGTTCAGCACTTACAAGGATCAACCCTTAAAGGGTCAGTAAGAGGGCTGCCAAGGGTCATTAAAGGTTCAGCACTTATGTTGCATATCTATTCAGTCACAGGGGAAATTAGGTCTTTCTACATGTGTGTGTGACATTACTACATTACTGGGAATAGCCCCAGGCTTTTATTTAATATGTTACAATCATAGAAATATAAGCTGCAGCATAGAAGAGCATAGTTTTCTCTGATATAGTCTATGTGAGGGTATTCCAGTCAATTAAGTGTGAAGATCACCTTGCTGTCATGTGAGAATGTGGTCTTACAGAGAGAAAGGTGCATGGCTGTCCATTGTTGTAGTGAGTGTATATTGTGTTACAAGAATACACCACTGCCACGTGGCATAGTGGTTTTACCGAGAGAAACTTGTATAGTGAATTCATTGGCTAATTCAAGAAGGTCTTATCCATAGTAAGGTTGAAATGAGGACCCTATAAATATGTTGTTATAGCATTTGTGGAAAAACTGCCTCTCTGTGTGAAAAAGAAAGATTTCAGCAGTTGAAAGAGTGTTCTTTTCGAGAGCTGAGAATGAGTAACAATTTCTGTGATATTTCATAATGGTTGAGCTTTAATAACTCATAGAAATTTTCCAAAAAGAAACATTGTTGTAGTGAAGATTAGAAAGGCTGTTTGGAGCTAATTTCTTAGTGCAAGAGGTGGCTGAAATGGTTCAAAGTTGCTGGGGTCGTTTCTGGAGCTTGAACAAGGGCTGAACATATATATTTTGGTGATATACAACAGCTGAAGGTGCCCAAGACTACATATTAAAGCTGGTATTGAATATCATATCTCGAACCCCTAGATAATCTTGATTTTCTAGTTTAAGCTTGAAAACTGAACTTATCATGTTGAAATCATGCTATATATCAACTGTCCATCATCTGAGCATGTCTAGATTGTTGATTTGAGATTGTCCAAGTTGAGATTTAGCCTGAGGAAGGGTCTCGTCAGTATTTGATATAGTGAACCTTATCAGCTTGTGTTTAAATATGTTTTCAAGTTTGTTTTGAGTATTGAATCCACTATATATATTGCTGTGACTGATGTGTTATACATTTGAGTACGTTCATACAGTCAATATATGATTGAAAGAGCAAAAATCCAGAGTTTTGTAATGGTAAAATACTAAGTTTGCTCTCATAACAGTGCTGCAGTTGAAACCCTCTTCTGAAGCCTAATCTGTCCAATCACGAATTGACTAAATGTAATGACCCGGTCATTTTTCTTCCTTTCTTTTTTCTCAGATTTTCACGGATATTTTTTTCCGTTGATATTTTCCTTTCTGAGTTCGATTTCTCGTCACTTAGTGTCGTCTTGAGTGCTCGGGGATGGTTTTCGAGACTTTTGTCTTTGGATTGACAACTTTATTTGAGGACCGAGTCATTTCCATATTTTCACTTTTTGGATACTATTCACTTTTCGTCCTTTTCCCTATTTTGTCTTTTCCCTGTTTGTCACTTTGTTGGCATAGCCTCACTTTTTGTGTTCGGAGTTGGTTTTTGACTTCACGTATCTTCATTCTTTATGGTTTTCACGAAATACGTATCTTTACTTTTGTGGAAAAGTACTCTGGCTGCTCCTGGTGGTTCATAGGGGCATGGATGCATATTTCTTCAGAAAAATTTTCTTTTCTTGAGGTGTTTTTCATAAATATCTTTTGAAGATATTTTATTTTAGGGGTTTTTAAGAAAATATTTTTGGAAGATATTTTCATTCTGGGTCATTAGTGTAGTTTTCATTTTTTGGAGGGGCCATTGTGCAATTAATGAAAGTTATTGTTAAATGTCTCATTTTGAGCCTGGATCCTCATACGGGATTCATTTTCACTTTTTGTCGAGTTGTGTACTCCTAGAATTTCTTTCTGGTCATTTTTCCCCAATTTTAGGGTTTCTGACCCTAATTGCTACCAAACTTGTTTGGGGCATATCTTTCTGTTCGGAACTCAAATTTCTACACTGTTTCTTCCATTATTAATATTTTCTCATTTCGATTCTTTTTCATTCACAGTGTTTTGCCATTTGAGCACGTCTGTTCAAATTCCACTTTTCGAGACCCGGCAAGGCACTTTTAGGGTTTTACTATAAATAGAATGTCTTAAAGTGAAAAGTCACTTTTTCCATCTTCTTCTTCCCTCTTGGCCGGCAACCATGGAAGCCCATGGGGCTGCCACCTTCTCTCTCTTCTTTTGGACTTCTTCCCTTTGTTAAAAAGTCATAGTACCTTAGTGTTTTATGTTTGTCTTGACTACGCGCATCTTTCCCCCTTATTAGAATCCGTTTTTGGTCATATTTTGAGTTCGGGTTTGAAGCCAAGTTACGATTTTCATGGTACCTCGTAAGTGTTTAATGTTCACCTTATTGTCCCCGACAAGACCAGAAGTTTCGTCGGATTTGGAGTCGTTTCATTTCAGTAGGGATTTGAGATTTCAACTCAAATGGAGGTAGGGGATGTTATAGTTTTATATTTTTGTTGTCTTGCATGCTATTAATGCTTATACAACTTGTATGCATGCTTTAGTTCAATCTCTAAAATTTAATTTAATTATTTTCTATATTTAAGATTTAATTCTCGTGATGGTGTACAACTTAGAATTAAATTGTGGCATGCTAGGAAATTTGGCTTTTGTATGTTTGTTAACATATATTAAATATGGATTATTTGAAAAAGGATTGCAACTTTTATTTAATAATTTTCTTTTGTGAAGGTTTAATTCTCATGATCGTACCTTGCATGGAAATAATTTGTGATATGCTATTAAATTAAGTCTTGGCATGTTCTTTAACATGAATTTTAAAGCATTTGGATGAGTTTGAAAATCTAGAGATTTTAATTAAAATGATTAATTAAAATCTATTTAGTGGTTCCATTTGACATTTGTAATGACTAGGACTTGTTTACTAGTATATATTAAATTGGGACCATTTGAAGTTGCTTTAGAAGTTAGAGATTTAATTATCATGATTTAATTAAAATCTTCCTTGTTATTCCATTGGCCTAATTGAGATATTGAATGAATGTTTGTAATAACCATGCTATGTTGTTAGGGATCATTTAACAGAGATTTGAAACCTAGAGAAATTAATTAGGTTATGTAATTAATTTTCATAACTATTGCGTTAATGATTTAATCATGTGTTTGACATTGATTGTATATTTAAATCATGATTTTGGACTTGTAATGGATTCGACATTGTCATCCTATAGTAGTTGTGGATTTATAGCATGTATTGTGTGGTTTCAACGTACTTGTGTATGAAGGTAGTTTCGTGTACTATTTAATATGTATATAAGTTGTTAACTTATTTATTTTGTAGTCACTTGGGACATTGTTATAGAGATATTGCTAGAGTTTGGTTTAGTGTGGGAGGTATGAGTTCTCCCCATTTTATAGTGCGCACTAGGGTGGTCTTCCCAGCTGGTTTATGCTCGGAATAACCGTTTTGATCTTGGTTTATTCTGAGACGTGATGTCCAAGTCTTCCACTATTTGTTTTCGCATTCAATTCCAAGTTGACAACCAATATT